TATATATACAACATTTTTTTATATATATATATACATGCATGTGTGTATTTATGTACATAATAAATAAACAGTACACACATATATAAATGTACACAAAAACTTTTATTATTGATGCGATTAATCACAATTAATCATTGCCCAGCACTAAAAAAAACATACATATACACATGTGTGTGCATATACAGGTGCATCTCAATAAGTTAGAATGTCGTGGAAAAGTTCATTTATTTCAGTAATTCAACTCAAATTGTGAAACTCGTGTATTAAATAAATTCAATGCACACAGACTGAAGTAGTTTAAGTCTTTGGTTATTTTAATTGTGAAGGGGGTGTCATAGCCCTTCTGCAGCAAGAGGCAGGTGACCACATTGTGCCTTTCCACTGTATGCCTCACAGGTAAGACTAGAACTTGTAAAACTGCGGTGTTAAATGCGATGCGGTCGAAAATTTGGGTGCACCTAACTTTTGTGCTGGTGCACCTAAGAAAAAAAGTTAGGCGCACCAGTGCAACCAGTGCAAAAAGTTAGTCTAGAGCCCTGCATATACATATGTGCATATTATATAAAGAGTTCAGATGCAAAAGCCTCTAAGTGCCATTTGAAATTTTCTTCTAAAATTAACATTTTTATCAGGCTCCTATATTTACGTTCAGTTATTTCACTTTAATGGCAATGAAAAGAACCTATTATCATTTTAGAAGAAAAGCGGCTTTTGCATCTGAACTATGCGAATATACACACACACATTTGTGTGTTTGTATATATATATATATATATATATATACACACACACTAACTGAAAATAAAAATAAAAGCTAAATCAAAATATTAACAATATTATACATAATACTTAAATAACAGAGTGTGGAAAATGGTCATGAAAACTAAATAATGACATTATAAAGTAAACCTAAAAAAAATTATTAATTACCAGTGCTAATTAGCTAGCATTTTGACAACAAGTCCTTGTTTATGCATGATCTCTAACTGAGAAAGCATTGTTAAATTTATAACAAAGGCTTTATGTGTGAAAGCAGCCATTGTCAAACATGGAGAACATGTTAAGTACTATATATGTCCTTGACATTCATTTATTAATCATTAAAAGTCAGGCTTTAGACTAAGTATAATGAGGAAGGGGACTCAGGGCTCTACAGTGCATATGATGCAATTTCAAGTTTTCCTTTCTCTTTGGAGTGTTACAAGCTCTTGGTGCATAAAGAAGATCTGTAAAGTTGCAAAGACTAAAGTCTCAAATCCAAAGAGATATTCTTTATAAAAGTTAAGAGTCAACCACGCCTACCTAAAACGCCTCGTTCTAACATGCCCCCACATATCTACGTCACTATGTGGAAATATTAGCAAATGTGTATGCAAAGAAAGAAGGCGTGGTTTCAGGAACACCAGTCGTGTTGATGCAGCCATGTCAGGGAGACGCTGTGTGATTCAGTGCGAAAGCAAAAGCATCAAAGACAAGAAGAGTGTTTTGGAGAGCCAAGACTTACTCAAGTGTGTCTATGAGCTTCCTGTAATCGACAGGTGGTGGATAGACCACCTCTTCAATGAGCTCTCGGTCACAGTGGGCGTAGGCTGTGGACACGTGGATAAACACCTCCAAATGCTTAATTCTGTGAGCCAGGTTAACCATCTTCTGTGTGGCCAGCACATTCAACTGCATGGCATCTCTGCAGCAGAGGGACAGAAAAAAACTCTGAACTGCAGTGACTCTGCAGAAGCATGAGCAGATCTGATTAACTTGAAGATAGGCTTACTGCAATTTGTACAAAACCACCTAACGAAAAAAAATTGATCTAATCACGATAACCTGCAGTTAGTGTAGTTTCAACCTTTCAACTTACCGACATCAGAATAGGATAAGGAAAGTTAAGGAAATAATGTAAATGACATAAAATGCGCATTTATTTCTCTCTGGTGCAGCGGTGCATTACGTGAGCGCTGTGAAAGAAAAATGAAGTCAGGTGAAGAATGCGTGAACACCTCTGAAGTGTTAGTGCATGCACTATGTTTCATTCCACACTCACTTTAAAGCATAAACAAGGCTTTAGCATGCATTTTGAACGCATAGTGCTCCAGATTCATTAATTGGACATTACAGGTCTGATCTGATAAATTGCAGCAGTGACAGAAGAATTTGGGCAGAAATATACTACTAATACAAAATATTTGAATAATATATTATTAAAAAAAAAACTATAATTGCAGTAGTATTATTTCTTATACTACTATTAATAATAACAATAATAAGAATATTAGAAATAAAAATATTTTATAATTAATGATACAATAAATCTATCATTAGCATTATAATAATATAGTATTTAAAATTTAAACAATAATAATGACAGTACTTTAATTGCCATTACTACTACTGCTATTAATAAAGTTATAATTGTATTGCACTTTAATAATATAATTATAATTATTATTATTATTATTGTTAATGGAAATACTAATACATTTATTTTATCATGTACTATTTGCATTAAAATTATTATAATTATAATAAATTATTATAAATTATAATAGTAATAATAAAAACAATAAAGAAGTGAAATAAAACAAAAATAATGACAGTATTAATACTTACAATTTCTAATAATATTAATAATAAATTTTTATTATTAGTTAAAACATCATTGCATTATTATTATTATTGTTACTAATGCAAATAGTAATACATTTATTGCATAATTAATAATTGTATTATTAGCATTTCCAATAATAGTTATTATAATAGCAGTAATAAAAACAATAGTGACAGTATTACTATAACTATTAGAACCACTACTACTATTAATAATAATAATAATAATAATAGTAATACAATGATTTGTATATTTGTGAATATGACTTGTATTAGTGGAAAAAATTTGTGAGTGAAAAATGGATTATTAGCAGCATTTGAATTATTATTAATAATTGTACCATTACTAAAATAATTATTATTTTTATTAAGGCTATTAAATAAATGTAATAAAACCATGCATTTTATTGTATTATCCAGGTTTATTGTGATTTGTGAATACATGATTTAAAGCTACATGACAGATTGCTAATTGGATTTATGAGTTAATTGTCTTTATCTCAACAGCCCTTATGAAATGGATTGAATATGTTGAAGTATGAAATGAAGAAATGCCTCAAGCGACGTGTTATAAGGAACCCAGTTGCTTCCTGTGATATAACCACCTAAATAATCAGAAGCATCTAAACTCCTAGCTGTGGATAAAGCTTGGTCTCATCCTGTGGGTGGAGATTACAGCTTACTTCAGAGGCTCGTTGAAGCGGATAGTGGCAGCGCAGTGAAACACTATGTTAATGCAGCCCGTGAGAGTCTCCTGGTCTTCTGTGCTCAGGTCCAGATCTGGCTGTGTTAGGTCGCTGTTGACCGCCACGATCTTCTCTGCGAAATCGGGCTGCTCCTCTCGCAGTCTGTCGAAAAGCTGCAACATTCAAAGACTCAAGATTACTTTCACCATAATCAGATATCACAGTCTGGCCAAGCACTACAGTAACCGCATATGAATTCCCGTCATGCACAGCCTATGAGACAATGCTATCAATATAACCTAGAAAAGGCCAGAAATGTGCATACAACATAATTGTGTAAAGTGCAAATATAGGGAGAGAAGATCTATCAGCGCAATCTGGAGCATTCAAAGCATCTTGAAAGTCACTGCAAATATAACACGTGATCTGAATCTGCATCTGTGGCCTAATCATAAATCCCATAACAAGTCTTAAATAGTAGGAAGAGATCAAAGACATACGCTTTAGTTTAGGCATTGAATTCAGCTGCATTAAGAGAATTCAGAAGCTGGAGAAAAAAAAAAAGTTATATATAAAAGAAAAAGTTAAATATTAAAATATGTATTCATATATTATTATTATTATTATTATTATATTATATTATATACACAGTATTAAAATATAAATATTATATATTAAAATATAAATTGATAAATAATATTAATAACACACATAATAAAAAATATGATATTAAAATATAAATAGAATAGTAAGGTTTTACGCTCCTAGTCTTACAAAAATTAATGGAATTTAAAAACAGTGACAAATAATTTATCACGTTTTCTGTCTTTTTTGTTTTTGTTTTCATATAAATATGAGGTTTATATATATTATATATGAACATTAATGTTATTTTAATAAATGAAATACAATAATTTACAGGCAGAAAAAAATAGAACATGACAAAAAGCTAAAAAAAAAAGCAAGCATAATAATCAGTGTTGTTTTTGTTACCTAAAAATAAAATTATTTAAACTGTTTATTTTTTTAATATGAAATTAAGCTCTCTCTCTCTCTCTCTATATATATATATATATATTAAGGGTGGAACGGTTCGTGGATACACACACGTTGCTTTGGCAACTAACTGAAAAGTTGAAGTACTAAACAGTTGATGTATTAAAATTACTAAGACTAAAACTGAAATTAAAAGAAAATTAATGTTAAACAGCAACAAATAGTAAAAACAACTAATACTATTGAAAAAAGTAGTTCTATTGAAAACAAAATTTTACTGAAACTAAAACGAAAACAGAAAATATAGTAAATTCAAAAATATTAATAAATACTAAAAAAATATAAATAATACTAACTCACTAAAATATTTTTAGTAAAAAAAAAGGAATAGGAGTAGTGGAATTGTAATAAATTTAACAAGTTTTAACTGTATTTTACTTCTCACATTAAAATTTTTTACTCCAATTGGTTGACTTACACTGACTGTCTGGTTAAAATGATTCTTCTCTTGATTTGGGAAACAAAACAAAAAAATGTTAAAAGGCTGAAAAATATACTGTACATTTTTTTAAAGCTATATCGCCTTGCCTTACCCTTAATTTATGCCATGAGGTAAATAACTCAATTGAGAATTGAGAGAACAAACCATGAAGTTTTCCAGCAATTCTCCAGACCTGCACTTGCTCACCTTGCAGTTGATCATGTCAGCAATACGGGCTTCGGGGGCATGTCCTGCTTTGGGCCGGACAAGCACATAGGCAGCTTTGACACCGGGACAAGAGCGTAGCAGCTTCTCCAGAAGTACTTTCCCCATAAAGCCTGTGGCCCCTGTGATGAGAACATTTTTTCCCTCGTAGTACTCTGGAATGGTGACCATCCTGAGTGCACCTTCCCTCCTCTGTTACAGCCCTGAAGAACACCAACAGAAACATTGTCACACAGTATCACACTGCAAACACGCACACATTTCACAATGGATCTCACTCTTTGCTTCAGATATCGTGCTGTTTTGTCAGTATGCTGTAAATATTTCATGCGGGTCACTTCCTTCCTTTCCTGCCAAGACCTCAGTCCACAATTGCTGCATGACAATCAAATCTTAACTTTGTAAAAATGTGTAATGCCCACTTAAGAGCTGGTGTTGTATTACTCTCCTGGACCGCAGCTGGATTTTGACTTGCTGGGTCAATAAAAGTGCTCCTAAACGGCATTAAGGTGCATCGACCGCAAAAAGCTTTACTTATCACTAATTGATAGGACAAATTAAAAGGCATAGTAAAATCAAAACAGTATAAACAGGTTTATTATTTTTATCTCTTGTCCACTGATAACAAGTCAATACAGCTCATCCACGGCGGATACTGGGTTAATACGTAATAAAACAAGAGATAAAGATTTTTTCTACTTTAGACAAGTAGAAGTCTAGATTTTTTTTATAAAGACCTACTAAAAATCTACTAGATTTTTTAAATAAAGAAATTAATACTTTAATTCGGCATGATGCATTAAATTAATCAAAAGTGACAGTAAAGGCACCTATAATGTTACAAGAGTTCTTTTTCATATGAATGCTGTTCCTTTAAACTTTCTATTGAAGAATCTTGAAAAAATGAACAAAAATATGTAGAGGCATAGCTGTTTTTAACATTGATAATAATAAGAAATGTTTCTTGAGCAGCAAATCAGCACATTAGAATGATTTCTGGAAGATTGTGACAGAAGACACTACTGAAAATTCAGATTTGCCATCACAGGAATAATTACACTACAAAGTTATTTTAAAATTCAATAATACTTCTAATATTTATGTTTTTACTATAATTTGATCAAATAAATGCAGTCTTGGAAAAACATAAGAGACTTCTTTCAAAAACATGAAAATAATCTTAATCTAAAAATCTTAGTTTAAAAATAAAATTACAACAAATTGTATGAATTTAAATTTATAACTGTATACAGATAATTTTAAAATACAAAGATTTACATTTATTCATTAATATTTACAATATACAAATTTTTTAAAATAAGTTTCCATGAATTTAAATATTAGATTAATATTAAAAAAATACTATCTTATCATTGAAAGTTATACAGGTATTATAATTATACACAAAGACAAAACTCATTCACACTTGAACAAACATTGGAAAATGATGACACAGATGATTAAATTGTATGGCTTTTTTGCAATTTTGACAATCTCATAAGATAATTTCACCTAGCTGACAAAATTAAAACATAAAAATTACAACTAACAACTAAATGTTTAAAACCAAATGTTTACCTTTGCATTTGCAAAGCCTAAAAATGCATGTAAATGATCAAGATACAGGATGTATTCTAATCTGCATTTGACAATTTCTGGGCTCAATTTCACATCTTACACATATTCAACTCAATCTATGATGTTTCAATCTCAGCCTGCCACTTTCTTCCTAATGCACCCGGTCGCATCATATGATCCTTTCCGTAAACTTATCAGGCCACTCAGTATAACAAGTTCCCGCTGGCGATGAGCTGTTTTTGCAGCCTCTTTCTGTTCGGTGTTGCAGCCTCGCATTGTTTGCTGCATAACACCGGTGCCAAGTTCCACAGCTGCATGCACCCCAAACACGGACAGAGTATACACACACACACACACACAGACACACACAGACACAGACACATACACAGACACACAGACACTGCATGGCAACAAATTCTGGGCTGTTTCCTGACTTTCAGGGCACAATCTGTATCAAAAAGTCTCAAAAACATTCAGTGAAGTGCATGGGTTATTTTGACACACTTGCCTTAAGGGCAAACAGCCAAGAGCTAATGAATGCCAGTTTAACTGTAGGGGTCAGGTGGATTATTCCAGAAGGCGAGACGTTGTGCAGTGCAATTTCTTTCCAAGAGCCACTCAGCACTTCTGTGACCAAGGACCCAGAGCTGCCTCTGCAGTGACACTGGCATTAAACAGCGTCCAACTACAGGGAGCAAAGCTAAAACGGGAGTTCTGGGACTGTGGGCAAAAGAAATCAGTCCCTATAGAGAAGCTGGCATTTTCTAACCCCTGAAAACTGATCGCTTGTCTGAGAAAGAACCGATTGGAGATATAACCATCCTATATGGGGCCATCTGACATGATCAAGTCCCTTTCATGTACACCAGAAGCAAATTGATCCTAGATCCCACATCCTCAGTTTGAATAATTCATGGTTCACATAGGCAGCTGCCATGCACTGGGGCACCTGAGTGTACTGAATTGTACTACTGTAACAAATAAGATGTATGTAAACAAATACCAACATAATAACAATAGAATGACCGTAGTCAGGAGTGCTTTAGCTTAAAAGCTTTCCATTAAGAACCTAAATAAAAGTACTCCAGGCTAATGGGATCGAATATCCTGTGTGTGCATAGTAAAACAAATTGCACCGACAGATCTCAGTACTGAAGTATACAATCAAAGATACAGTGAAAGGGACAAAACCGTGTTGTCACAAGACTGCACTGCCTTTGCGTCTTGTGATCCTCATTAAAACAACAACAGTGGGGATGTTCATCCAAATGAAATGGCAGAAATATGCAATTAACTGTTTAGAAGTTGAAAAATCAGGGATACAGACCAAAAATGTTCTAAATTAAATAAGCCCTGTCAGACTGGTGTTCATTCCTGATGCTGTTTATTTCAGGGTTTCCCATACATTGATTTATATGGGGGCGAGGGAGTGCCGCCACAAATAGAGTGCAAGGCTGTGGGAAATACTGAATATAGGCTACTCGAAAAGTAGGCCCTAGATAATAAACACTACTATTATAAAGGTTCTAAACATGTGTTATAACAAAATAGTTATCATATTTTCATTTATAAATGAGAAAATGAAATTGTGTGTCATTTTTGTCAGCTTGAATGTAGTATGGAGTTATGAATCAGAACAAACATTTTAAGTGAACAAATCATTCTTGTTTACTTCCATTCCATTCAACTCTCTCCGTTTTGAAGTGCAAGACTGTTTTCTCTCTTTAAAAACTAATTAGCCTATAGAATGAGTACAGGAGATTTTGACATTTGACTACATGAATGAGCATTGGTTGGACTAATTTAAGGAATACGCCTTTACTGGTCAATCAGTTTCGAGTCCGAACGACTCAAGCCGGCTATGGGCTTTGAGCAAAGCAAAACTGATTAAATTGACAAATCTCATTTGTGAAAAAAGGGACCTGATGACTGAATGTACGAGAGAAGGTTATTTGAGTCATGAGAGTCAATTTCGTTCACAAAGGACTGATGAATTCTGTGTAGAGTTGACTAAATGGAGAAAAAAGATGCTAATCCAGTCTTTCTGGAGTCTATTAGTTTTGTAGACGTAAATTAAATTAATTTGGATTATGTTTCAGTCATAAGTGACTTGATGTTTTAACAAATCGGTTGAGTAAATGACTTAAAGGCACAATATGTAAGATTTTTTTATTAAAATATCCAAAAACCACTAGAACAGTGTTATATATTTTGCTGACTTGTGTACTTACAAACATGGACGTAGTGTTCATGACGTCACCCGTAGGTTTCTGAAGAGCAATTTTGAAGCCTAAGATGAGCAGAGCTGGCCGCCGCCATCTTGGCAGCGAGTCAACGCTCCCGGACACTCCCGGATAATCGAAAATGGGCAAAAAGACGGGACGTGGGTGGAGCTGAGGTGCCTGGTTGCTGAAACCACGACCGCCTCACTCGACAGCAGTGACAGCAGTGCTGCCGTGCAGACAAAAAAACATAACTTTGTTTTCGGTCGAAAATGAGTTATCGATATTTTTAGGACATTCAAGACCCCCTTTATCATGTGTATCTTGGAGAAAAGCCCCGGAGAAACCAAGGCAGAACACAGTATCATCAGTTACTGCTCTTTGACTTTGTTTTGGAACGCTCAAATTAATTTACGGTGCTCTGCCTTTGTTTAGCCGTTCGTCAATATTACTGTGCCAGCCTGGAGTTATATGGTATTCTGCCTTTGTTTTAATGTCCATTAAAGTCTGCCGCGTTTAAATTACGGTGTAACTTGTGTACTTTCATACATACATCTCTCGGCACTTCATTAGTAGTGCCAAAATATCTTAAATTGTGTTCCGAAGACGAACAAAGCTTTTATGGGTTTGGAACGACATGGGGGTAAGTGATTAATGACAACATTTTCATTTTGGGGTGGAGTAAGCCTTTAATATAATTTAAACAGATGAGTTATAAAAAAAATTCACCCCCCTCACAGTTGTCATGAAGGGCAAAATGACCTATATAGTAGGAATGTGCGGGTCTAGTCGACTAGTCGACTAAACGGTACAGCTCCTGCTAGTCGACACTGAAGCAGCGGCGATCCCGTCCGCGCCGTCTATTCCTCTAACCTAATGAACACCCACTTCGGTGGTGGTGCAGGATGTCCAGGCGCTTTCTGAAACTCTATCGGCTTACTTTTCATTATCTCTGCGTGCCTGCGACTTCAGTTCCTGCCAAATGCGTTTTTTCAAGTGCAGGAATTTTATTGTTAATCGCACCAGACCACATTGATAATTTCACTGAACAAATAACGCATGGTCTGAGTAAGTAAAATGGGAGACTTTAGTCTTTGCAACTTCAGGGATCTTATCTATGCACAATCAGCTTGTAACACTCCAAAGAGAAAGGAAAACTTGAAATCGCATCATATGACCCCTTTAAAACACACAAAACGAAACACCCGTGATCGCCACCTACAGACATAACCCCGCAAGCGCGGAAAAAGTGAATGAACGAATCGGCTGAACAAATCTTTTGGAGTCACAATATTCGAGTCACCGGGATGAATCACAATCGTCTAATGACGCCGGGCGAGAGCCAGAATGACACATGCTTCACATTTCATAAGAAGCTCACGCGCCCTGATCTCTTAACTAAAATTTAACATTTGAACCTCACTGGTCGCACAAATTCTAAGGTTTATTACTTAACTTATAATAGAATTAAAAACATATAGTGAAAATGTCAATGATCACATAAATGCACACAATTAATAAGGCAATAAAGTGTAATAAATACATACTTCATAACTGTACAATAATAATAAAGCACACAGACTGCAATAAAAAAAGTTTCAACAGACGTCCCTATATATTTAAAGGGGTCATATGATGCTGCTAAAAAGAACATTATTTTGTGTATTCGGGTTCTTCAAGCAAAAGAAATTGTCTTTATGGTCACCAATATGAAAATGGAACAAAGAGAAATTTCTCGATAAATTTGTGCATTAAATTACTGTAAGCACTGATAAAAGCAGCTTAGCATTACTTTCCAGCTGTGCTTCTTTCAGGGAGGATTTCCTACACACCAGCGCTGAAAACCCCGCATGCGAAAGTGTGCTAACGGCTAGCATTCACTCTCTAAAAACGTGCAAACTCGATTTTGAGATCAGGAATAACGAGGCAACAAAGAATATAACTGAAGCACTCGAACGCTTACCTGAGATGTTTAGTATATATCCTAAGGTGCTCTATCCAGCAGTGATGGGAAACGCAGTGGGGCTGTAGCTTAGCTTCGCTGGAGAGGAACTGTGATGGGTTGCCAAATGATGTGTTTCATGAGAGAACCGACGTCACAACCCACCATGCGCGAGGAATTACGTCCCTTCGTGATAATCCTATGTAGTGTCAAAAGAATTGGTATCGCATCTGAAATATTCAGTGTATATTCGCTAGTGAGAGTTTGACGGGTTCTGGAAAGAGATCACAGTGTATGTGGACTATTTAAAAATCATCCCGGGTTTTAGATTCTTCCTCAGAGTAGGATTTTGTCCATAATCCCTCAAGGGACAATAGTGCCTCTCAAATGTTACTGTAAAATCCAACAGCATTAAGAACAATGTGGTAGTGGCGTATGTCAGTCCTTAAAATGTGTTGTAAGGAATAGATAAAAAAAAAAGTAGGCTATGGCTAAAAGTTTGTGACCTATGCTGGATAACCTGAATGAAATGGGGGCAGTTTACATTTGCAGACTGCAACTGAAAGTACGGTTCTCAATATTTGCTAACAGCATGGCACTTCCCTAAATATGAGTAAAATAATCCTGATTTATCCATTACATAGCCTGCAATTTTCTTGTCAGTCTGAACCATTTTCAAGTCACTTAACACAACATGAATCAGCTTCCAGTGTAACTCTATTACAGGCTTTCACTGAAATGTATCCTATATCTCTTTTTAAGCTTTTAGAGCCCCCCCCCATTTTTTACTGTTAAATACTGGTACAGTGGTTGTTAAAACCAAAGCTATGCTGGGAATCCACATAAAACAAAGAATTTCAGGTTTTTCTGGCTTCTCTTAACTGCTGTACTGTGGTTTACAATGGTTTCCAGGCAACAGGGCTCAAGGGACTCCTGTTGGATATAACAGAACAAAAGAACATTATATTTTACTAGAACTGTTGTGCTGGACTAAATTTGCATGGAACAATTTACAGTTGGGTTCAAACCAGTGGCTAGGCTAAGGGCCAGGTTGGCACTGGCCTACTCAGATTGACGGCTGGTCCACCCAATATAGGCCTATTTATATCGTCTGCGATAATATCATTGTTGTTTTAACTATGTGCGATTTGACGTTATCGAGTATATCACAAAAACTTCACAAAACACATCTACAGTGCACGCATACATTACGTGATTTAGTCTACTGTAACGTTAATTAGGTTAATGCGCGTACGCATTCTTTCACTGCATGATTCAGTCTATTAAAGTGCATTAAGAATGATAACCAAATTTAAGATATGGGGGCAGAAAATGTATATATTTATATCATTTCATATAGTTAATCAATATCCCACGAAGAGTGACGTTTTTTCCCCCAAAATCAGCATGATTACAAATGTGATATTGATTTTTACAACAGTTCAATAAACAATAAGTTAATTAAGAGACTTACGTTTTAGACAGCATATTGCCTGTTTTTGCTCTGTTTCGCCAACAAAAATAATTCCAAATTCCAAACACAGCCACAGCACTGTTTTGCGTCTCTGAGCAACATGACGGTGTTTCCTTCCTGAATGAATCAACCATTTAAATGATTCGGGTTCAATCGCATTGACTCACTTATTGACAGTGACTTTCTGCCACCTACTGGCAGTTTTGATTTCACATTTAAAGTACCTTTTCTTTTTAAAATAATTTCAAACATCAGTTTTCAACGTTTTGTGTTTAAAATATCAAAATATTTAATATTAATATTTAACTGCAGGTGAAAGCCTATTCCATGTCCCTCAGAGCTGCATTAAACAGTGTGTAAATACATCTAAATGTCACTTTAGATGCAGCTTCTGTGTTTCCTCTGCATTGTAAAGATGAATTTTGTCAATACTGATTTAATTTGCTTGGTAACAGCCAAAATGTTTTATTATTCTAATTGACTGATTAAATGTAAAAATTTGACTCAAAAGGTGATGCACACTTGTCTAGAAAAAAAAGGCTTCATAAAAGATTTAAAAAATGCCCATAAAAGGTAAAAATCAATTTAAACTTATTGGAAAAGATTAATTTCTATCACTTCTGTGAACTGATCACCACACAGAATGAAGAATATCAAAAACTTTAGAAGTCAGCTGTCCAGGGTAGTCCTTAAGATACCAGCACAAAAACACACTCAGAAAAATATGGTCTAATTATCGTTATTGATAAAATACCAGAAAATATCTAGATATATTTTTTGGTCAATATCGCACACCCCTAGAAAAGAATAAGTAATAAGACCCCAGTGGATCAGTGTTGATCTTCCAGTTGTGTGCTTCTATTCTATGGCAAATGATAAATGCAAGGGCTGTCAATCTACTATGTTTGGTGAAGCTACAAAACAAAACGCAGCCCAAAAGTCGCATGTATAGCATAAAAAAAATGCCCATAAAAGGTAAAAATCAATTTAAACTTATTGGAAAAGATTAATTTCTATCACTTCTGTGAACTGATCACCACACAGAATGAAGAATATCAAAAACTTTAGAAGTCAGCTGTCCAGGGTAGTCCTTAAGATACCAGCACAAAAACACACTCAGAAAAATATGGTCTAATTATCGTTATTGATAAAATACCAGAAAATATCTAGATATATTTTTTGGTCAATATCGCACACCCCTAGAAAAGAATAAGTAATAAGACCCCAGTGGATCAGTGTTGATCTTCCAGTTGTGTGCTTCTATTCTATGGCAAATGATAAATGCAAGGGCTGTCAATCTACTATGTTTGGTGAAGCTACAAAACAAAACGCAGCCCAAAAGTCGCATGTATAGCCAATACTGTTCACATATATTTAGTATTGTTTGATGTCCTGAAACAATTATGCTAGTTGAGACCTTTTCAACGATATAAGACCAGTATGTCTGTTATATAACATCACATTTTCAAGTAAAGTCATATTTTTATTTTCAATTTATAGGCATATATTTTCAGCTCATATTTTTGGCCTTTTTCAGCCAAAAGCCAAAGGCACTAAGGTCCACCCTATTTCACAGGTCCACTCACTTGAAAATTTCTGGCCTCGCCACTGGTTCAAAAAGCATATTAATTTATATCTTTCTCTCTCCCTTAGCTTCTGTTTGTGGTGATTTGTGGCCTTGGTTGAATAGACTGAACTTGCCAAGTCAATTTGTCTAAGATTCTTTTTGCAAGAAGAATTACTTCAGCCTTCAGCTTTTGTTCTCTGCAGACAAAAGCACAAATGTGTTGACAATTTTATGACAGGATACCCATCCTTGTTTGGTTTGGTGTCGCTAGTGGTGAGCTTCATACCATCATAGCTACAATTGTCTTTTGTATCAAGAAAAGCTTCCCTACTGTTTACTAGACCTCTGGTTTGTGTAAATTCTCTGACACAGGCAAGGCAGAGTGAATTGGCATGGTTGTTTTTTCAAACGCATGTAGTACATGAATTCACAAATCTTTTGAATGTCTAAAATGTGTGAAATCAAACTAGATAATAGACTTTAGTTTAACTGGTGGAGAATGGCAAGTTCAATAGGAATCTGCAAAATACACACATTAAACGCAAAGATAAAACAGAATACAACAAATAATGTCAATTTCCTTTCAGAAATGTTTGGAATTGGTGAGTATATCCTCTTCAAAGATTTGAATTATGAGAGAAAGAATCTACTTAAACTCCCACTTAAATTAATTCATAAATTGCCTATAGTATCTTCATTCTGTTTCATTATTAATTGTATATTTGTTACATATTGAATGTGAGTGCACAATATTAGGCGTAAAGTCTGAGAGTGCTAAAAATCCAACAGCTTCCAATAAACCTTTAGATTAAAAGGTCATTCTGGTCCTTGAGGGAAACATCATTGTCAATGGAGGAGCTTTTCTCCTTCAGCTGAATCACAAGTGGCTGTAAAGTCTTTTTTCTGCTGATGCTCCTTGTAACCTACAGAAAAATGAGACAAACACATGCACAAAATATTTAAGTATTCTATTGTCAAATTGGATCCTTAATGTCAGTAGACAGAAAAACTATCACATAGAAAAGGTATAAAATGTACAGTTCATTTATGTAACATGCTAGATGCTTACCATGCAATCTTCTGTTCAACACGCCCCTTTCCTGTGTGAAGTTAATGAGTAACCACAGTACCCCATTTGTCAAAAAGACCACCCCTCCATCTTACAGTTCATTTATGTAACATGCTAGATGCTTACCATGCAATCTTCTGTTCAACACGCCCCTTTCCTGTGTGAAGTTAACGAGTAACCACAGTACCCCATTTGTCAAAAAGACCACCCCTCCATCCCTTCTATAAATACCCTGATCTTAGTCTTTAACGGCAGAGGACACATCATGTCTGAATTATCCTACAGGACCTTTGTTGGTTTTCTCATCTTGTTGGGTTGTCTTGGAATGACCTTTGCTGTTAATGCTAGTGGTAAGAAAATGTTTCATTCATTTGTACGGGAACAAGTCACAGATTAATGACAAAGTTTTGTCCTGCCATATCCAGATGCAAAATGTGGATCTTCTAAGGCAAGAGGTATCCTTGACCGTTCTTTGAGGGTTATTGGAGGATCAGAGGCCAGGCGAGGTTCCCATCCGTGGTTGGCACGTAACTCTTCAACCTTACAAATTGCATGATAAACTAATGCAATACTACAGTTTTTACATTCCAAAAGGCATTGAAGTATATGTCAGTATGAAAAATTAATTCTACTATCATCTACAGGTGTCTCTTAGGATCAGAGGATCGCATTTCTGTGCTGCAGCGATCTTGACAGACCACTGGCTTTTGACTGCTGCTCATTGCTTTGCAAGTGTATCCAAGTAGGTCCACTCAATTTAAACATGACTAATCATAACTTTTGACTCTGTCAACGCTTCAGTGACTTTCTCTCAAATATAACTGCCTGCCTTAGGGACTTCCTGCACAAAATTGAGGCTGTAGCAGGTGATTTCAACCAAAGAAAAGTTGATAGAGGGGAGCAGAACTTCCAGCTAAAGACTGTAAAGTTCCATGAAAAATATCAGCGCTCCTCTCCCATGAGCTACGACATCGCTTTGCTTGAGACCAAAGGACGCATTCACTTTGGCAAGTCATTCTGTGAGATTACCACA